TACAATCTTTTTTCTGTGGGGAGGGAGAAATGGAAGATTTACTTGTAATGATAAGAGTCTGTGGAAAGCATTCTCTGTTTGTGGGGCGACAGCATGGCTGCCTCTGCTGTGGGTTGCAGGACAGAGCACCACGGGGCACTGCTGGGCGGGTGTGGCTTGTGGCAACTTTGCCCACTGGTGTGGGAGGAGGGTTGCCTGGGGGTCAGCTCACAGGAGATTTACAGGAACCACATTTAAAGCTGGCGTGCCATCTCATGCTTAGTCGTGAGAAATGTGGCCATGGAGTACATGAGATCCCACTGTCTCTTGAACACCACACCTTCTTTCCTGAACGCTTTCCTTATAGCCAGAAGTCGGTCCAAGAGCAAGGGGGTCACCTGGCGATCCTGCCAGGTGTCTTTTCTCCTCTGAGATCCCTGCTCCAGGCAGCCCTCCTCCCACATAAATGAGTGACTGTGACGTCTGGGACTGTGACGCCAGCACACCCTCCTTCTGTTCATGCTCAGTCTTCACTGATGCCCGGCGACCCATTCCTTCTCTTTTTAGAGGAGGAAGGGAGAACAAAAAATATGGGAAGCAAGACAACCATGGATACCCTAGGTGAATATTTCAGACGGGAAAATTGAGAGCGAGTAGTCTGGGATGGCTGATGAGATGCAAATTCAAACTCAGAGTCGCCTCCATTACTGGGGGGAAACACAGCAGAGGCCATAGGAAGTATCTTTATAGCAAACCAATCTGTAGGATCCAGATACCTATGGGCAGAGATAAGCCCACAAAACATGTGCCGGCCACGGGGAAACACAGATGAAGCAGACAGCCTGTGGCCGGAGTGTCAAGGCCGTCAGTCGGGAAAGCCACGGGGACCGGTCCAGAGAGCAAGCAGCCTGCTGTGGCCTCACACATCCCTCACGTGGGGGTCTGGCTGCAGCCTTCAGTGCACCTGCACACGGATTCCCAGCCCATGGGGCTGTAGAGCAGGGCAGGGGTATGGGGTCAAGTCCTGTAACTAACTGTTTATTTAACTGCCATTCCCACCACTGACCTTTCTCCTCATCACTTCAGGTGCTAACATCACAGCTGCTTTCCTCACCCAGAGGAAGAGTGAACCCAAAGGGCCCTTGGTAAGAACCGGGGAGGTGCCTGCCTGCTTGTGCTAAGTTCACTGGAGTGTCAGGGAGGAGGGTAACGGGCTGTTCAAGGGTGGAGAGGCCCTGGCCTCCCCTACTCTGGGGCCAGCAGCTGATAGCATGTGGAGACCACCTCCTGAACCCACGAGCGGCCGCAGAAGCGAAGCCCCCGTGGGAGTGTGAGGGCCCGCCCTGGCGTGGAATCAGATGAGCACTATGTGAATACCCGGCCAGGCTCTGTGCTGGCATGTTCCGCCCCACTTAGTCCTCATGGCAACACTCCTAAATAGTGGGAGAAGCAACATCCCTGTTTCCAGCTCAGAGAACGTCCTGCCCACGGTCCTGCAGCCTGTGGATGGCAGGGCTGGGGGCTGAGCCAGGAGAGCTTCTCCGCTGTCAGTGTGTTTGCCAGCCACATGGGAATCTTACAAAAATGCACACTTTGCTCTGTCAGGTCTAGGCTGGGCCTGAGAGTCTGCATTTCTGACAAGCCTGGGGCCAGGGCGTAATGGCACACAGGTGCAGAGCTTGCTGCCTGCTGGCAAGTGGCTGGGAGCTGGACATGATCTTGAGGTCCAGCTGTTGCATACAGTACAGTCCATTCATCCACCACTATGCACCCCCTTCTCCACAGCAGTAGCTGTGAGGTGCAGTATGTGACCTCAAAAGGCTCCCAGGCCTTTCCTTTCTTTTTTTTTTTGGCTGTGCCCCACTTTAAGGGATTTTGTCCTGAACCATCTCTGCGGTAGATCAGTCAGCCCCACCTGGGCACAGATTTTTTTTTTTTTAAAGATTTATTTATTCATGCAGAACTAGGGTACAGGCCAGA